GGGGGGGGGTGAGCGCGCGGGGACAAGGGGGGGGGAGAGAGTGACAAACCGATTGATGTCCCGTCGAAGAACATCGCACTCTCTGTCCAGGTCGTAAAGTTCGCCACGAGACTGAGGAGCCCTACGCCCATAAGGGTGTGCATGAGTGCCTACCAAGGACCAAGGTTGAGTCACTGCCCGTTAGCACAGAGTGGGAAAAGAACCTTGACGGCTAACGGCGCACGTAGGAAAGTCGTGTAGTAGGCATACCCTTGTTGTACTGCCGTGTCGTTCTTTGGCAGAAAGAGTACTTGGTGGTCGACGTTAAAGTTTATGAACAGTATGCCTGGCAGCGGTTGAGCGCAGTTGTAGTATATATTAGTAGACGTACCTAAGAAGAAGCATATGCTGCCTAAGAGAGCTGCCTGACGGAATCCCATATTTCTTGTTGTTGTTCGTTGAGCAGACAGTGAGAGTGAAGTGTTGATGATAACAACCAAAATCAAATGAACGTGAATCGGCGTTTACACTTATCGGCGTTAATCCCTTTCGTAGGCAATGTCAGCTGTAACACTCTCTACACCCTCTGTCCCTCTCACTCTCACAACCATGTATCCCCGTGCTCATCTCCTCAGTCTACCACAAGAAGTACCTCCTCCTCCTCATCTTCAAACCACCACTAACCCCCAACAGATCCTCGAGTCTACCCTACTCCTCCTCGATCCGCTCGACGTCGCTTCCTGTATCCTCACATGCACACAGCTCAAGTCAGTAGTCTATAACGACCGCTCAGACTACATGTGGCGATCGATGGTTCTCCAGCTATTCGTATGCCCTTCCCTCCTCCTACCCTCCCTTCCATTCCTTCACTCATCGCCCAATCTGGTAGGACGACCCGCGCATCCGCTGTCAAGGCGAGCAAGTCCCAACCCACGTCCCCTGGAAAGAACTGCTTCAATCCCGTATCCACGCTCGCCAAGTCGCAAAATCCATCCTCCCCAGCAACATAGTACGCTCTCCGCGCCTCCTCCGCCGTCAATACCCGCTAATCCCCGCCAAGCCAGTGCAGCAGGACACGCTCGCCGTGCTCCCTTCCCTCCTTGCGGACTCTGCGCGTCCTCTTGCTACCCCAGGGGGACATATCATCCACCGCGAGAGCTGCAACGTGTGTTTTCTCCAAGAGCTCCTTTCTGGCCCAGGAAGGGAAGCAGCGCTCCTCGGCTCGCCGCTCAATCCTGGTCGGACGGCTATCTCCTGCCACCTGCATACGCTGCACGGGCTCACAACCCTCGACGTGTACAGCGACCGGATCCGCGGGGTTGCGCGCGAAAAAGTGTACACGATGCGGAATTATGGGCTTGCGACATTCTGGGGCCCGTTCCTCGCTGCCCAGAAGGGGGAAAGGAAGCCAGACTGGGGGATGTTGGAGAGCATGATGATCGTTCTCTCAAGGAACGTGGCTGATAACAGGGAGAGGTGGAACTTGCCAGACGAGGATATGCCTATGATCAACTTGGATCGGAGTAGGCCGTTTACACAGCGCAGAGCGGAGGAGGGGTTGGCTGTCGAGGGGGACTGGGCGGGTGTGCAGGGGAGATGGTATAGGATTGTCAGTTTTATGGACTACAACGATCTTTGGGACTGGAATGTGCGTCTTCCTTCTTTTCCCTCCATCAACCATCCCATCCCATCCCATCCCATCCCATCCCCATCCACTTGCTGACAATACGAATGACAGTGGTCAGGCAGCGGCCCAAAATCACTCGACGACGCATTCGAAGTTGTGAAACTCATGACCCTAGACCTGCAAGTCATATCCATCGGCGCTCCCCCAGAAGACGCAGTCTCAGACGCGCATCCCTCCAGTTCCTCAGGGTCAGACAACGACAGTGATTTCCAGCCTCTGTCGCCTGATTCTGAGGAGCTTGTGGTGGACCTTACGAATGAGGAGTTCCCTACTTCTAATCCGGATCCCGATACCGATCCCGATACCGATGATGCTGAGGGAGGGGGAGGAGAGGGGCTAACGACCATCCCCCATGTGCATATCCTTCATATCCCGCAGATCACACTCCACCCCGGAGGGTTCAACATGATCACCAGCTCCGATCGGCACCCTTCCGCACTCACAAAAAAGTACCCAACGATATACTTCGTCGGCACCTCCCGGGGTCATACTATGGATCCACCAGTGACGAAGCTGAGGGGAAGAGTGGACATGTCGGATACTGGGGAGGTCCTGTGGAGGAGCACATCGAGGTTTTCGGCTCATTCTTGGGTGAGCGAGGGCTTGCAGCTGGGGGGGAGACAGAGTCAGGGAGGGGTGTTGGCTACGTGGAGCGAGTTGGAACATGAGGATCATGGGCCTGTGAGTCACGCTTGGTTGCTTTGTTCCGGTTTTTGGATGGGAGCTGATGTGTGTGGGGATTAATTGGTAGGCGGGACCGTCTTGGATGTGGAAATCGAGGTCTGGGAGGATGGCGAAAGAACGAAGGGATTTGATGGATTTATGAGTGTTGTGTGGTGTGTGGTGAATGGTGAGTTTGACAAGTACAAGGTGATACTGAGCCTCTGACTGGCCGTCTGTAGTTGGTTGCGGTTACGGTTACGTCACTGCATCACTAGAAGAACGCGTTATCTGCGCGTCCGACGCGTCGGACATTTGTTATTCGAGTCAGGAATAGCATAGGATTAGGGTGCGATAACATTGGGGTAGGAATATGTAGAATACACGAATAGACACTTCTCTCTCACTCTCATACTCTCCACCAACGTACGACTATTTACTTAACCTGAACTGTCGCCTCCACCCCCACCCCCTCCACCCCCCCACGAGTTGTCAGTCACGACCTCAATCCCCTTCCCCTTCCCTTACTCTATAGCTAGTCACAGTCCAAGAAGAGTACGCTCCGCTTGCCTGATTTGTCCCTTGACCAGGTAGTGCTTGGTGGGCGGTGCTGTGCTACTGTAGCTGCTGTGTTGTGGATTAGATTGGATTGGATACCTCCATCGGTCTATTACTGGTGGTGGTGACATTGGATCTGTTCACCTCTCTCATCTCTCTCCTCTCTCTCTCTCTGCACTATCTAGACTGTATACCAACAAGATGCTCCGTCTTCTCCCTCGCATTCGTATCACCCGTATCCCCCGCCTCCTCACCAACCCACACCCACATCACCCCCTCCCCACCCACTCCCACTCCCATAGTCATTCCCCCTCCCATTCCCGGTCAATCCAACTCTCCCCATCCCCTCTCACCTCCAAAGCCCTCCTCTCAACCCCAATCGATATCCCCTCCCTCTCCCCCTCCCCCTCAGCAGAAGAAGAAGGAGAGGAAGAGGAAGAGGAAGAAGACATACGCCCAGTACACGCTGTGATCAGCACGTTTGATTTGTTCAGTATCGGCGTTGGACGTGCGTTCCCTTTCCTTCCCTTTGCGCGTGCGAGTACTGATGCGATGCCGTTTGGGTGGGCGTTGGGGATAGCGAGTTCGAGCCATACGGTAGGACCGATGCGTGCTGGGCGGATATTCGTGGGTGACCTCTCCGACCTCGGGGTTTTAGAAAAGGCGCGCCCTCCCCCTCCCCTCACCCTTCCCCTCCAATGGTTTCTAACCCCCCCC